CGGGATTGAAGTACCTTAGTTTAAGCAGGATTTTGTCCTCTTTTTTTTGCCTCAGAAATTGATTCTATCTTCACTACCCTCAGAGCCACCATCTATTTAGTGGCGGACTTGACACATTTCGCAATTTTGGCAAAGGTTCCATTTCCAACTCAGTCTTCAACAATGTAGTCCGAACACTTGGAGGAAAGCTGGCTGCCTCTGATGACTTGGAGGTCTTGGCCTGAAGGCACAGTGGAGTAGTTCTTCTCTGCCATTTTGTAATAGAAAACCTCTTGCTTGGTACACATTGCTCAGGTTCAGTGAAGTTTCTCCCAATAACTTTCAGACACTTCAGGTTCGAAATGACTACAAATAATCTTGTCTTTGGCTCTGCACACAGGAGAGCAAAGTAAACTTTACTAATTTCTCCACACACAGGATGTAAATGAACCGATATGATGGAGCTCTCCTTATCTCCACATTCTGCAGAACTCTCAGGTTGTCATGGTGACAGAACAAACAGGCAATATTTGTTGCTGTTGTTGTAAAACATCAATTTGCCATGTCAGTTGGTGGTGCTTGAAATCTGAATCTATGTTTGTAAGGGTGTAAGTAAAACAGGTCATATCATGTCTCATAAAACTTTTATTTGCCATGCTTTCATGTTTGTCCACTTAGTCACACCTAGTTACTTTATTTCCTGTTTTCATGACATACATATTTTAAAGTTGAAAGGGTGTAAAGGTATTTCCACTATAAGCTATTAAAATAAAACAAAAATAACGATCAACAGTTAAAATGATAATGTGTATTGGCATCCCCTGGAGAGGCACAAGCTTGTGGACTTATGTTGTCAGTGTCTCTTGTGGAGATACTACTCTATACACATATTCAAGGAAAAAGAGAGAGAGAGAGAGATAGAGAGAGAGTAAGAGGGAAAGAGAGACCACTAGTTTATTGTAGCAAAAACAAGAAAAGAAGGCAAAATGCTCAGAAAGTATACTGTGGCAGGCTATCGTGTGCGGGAATTATTGGCGGTGTGTCATCCACTGCATTATCTTAATCTTCCGCTTGTGTCAATTCTGTGACTCTAATCAGCTTCAAATGTAACCTCAAAAAAGAGGAGTCAAGGGCATAGAACATACTGTGATGTTAAAAAGGGAATTGCAATTAATTTTTCATGTCAGGGATTTAAATTGTACCCTATGTCTATCGATTTATAACTGCCTCTCGATAACGATACACCCTTACATCCTTACGGCACTGGATCCCTGCTTTACGTCCACCTTTAAGGGCTTTAAATAACTAGAGTATATAGTGATCACTTTGTTGTATTCTCAAAAATGCCAAAAGTATGCTCTGAAGACATTATTCACTCTGTTTTTAACTTATTAAACCTTTTGTAATACTTTTTATTCCTGAAGTTGGGTTTTCAGGAAAAAAAAATAGTACTAAAGTACTGAGCCAAAGTACATTTTATTCTAATTGATATAAAATGTGCATGCTTGTCATCTATTGTTTTGCTGAAGACTGAGCCAAAAAGCAGAGATATATTAGGCTTCAAACATTTCAAAAAGTCTAAAATCAAATAATCTTCAAGAAATTAAAATGTTTTGAATATTTCCAGGTGGACTGTGAGCTATAAAGAAACCCGACAATTAAAATCTCAGTGATACAGGATTTCAGAAAGACTTCAGTTTAGGTTACAGTAACTGGTCTGACAAAATGCATTGATTAAAGCTGCAGCAATTGCATGTTTACAGTGAGCGAAACTGCATGTCAAAGTTTTTAATACGGGGTAAACGTTTGCAAGTGTCTTCTCTTGTCTGAACAACAGCCCCAAGCCCAAAGACATTCAACTGAAACTTTTACTAAACATAGAATAACAATAAATATTTACGACTTCTCCTATCATAAAACAACTGAAATTCTTGCTTAATTAAACAACTATCTACAGACTGATTAAATTAATTAATTTGCCAACCAATAACTGACAAAATTCATAAATTAATTGCTGCAGCTCTCATCTAAATCACCGGTTCCCAGGGGAGGTGGGGGGGGGCACCTGAGATCTCAAGGGCTCCGGTTATCAAAATTAGATTTGCACATATTAAATAAAATGATGTGAAAACATTAATAGGAAATGTAAACAGAAATGATTTGGTAAGAACAAGTGTGTCTGCTTATTCTTATAGGATTTTATTAATGGAAACTAATTATGTTAATTTTTAAAAGCTATGGATCATCACTCCTGTGGGTGCTGGGAGGGCTCAGCTTATCTTAGATACAAGTAAGGATGGGCAAGGGAAAAAAAAGGTTTGAAACCACTGAGCTTTTTAAGCAACGCAGCAGATTTCCAGACTCAGCTCTGTGTGGGTGTAACATCAAGGTGAGGGTCTCATTACAAAAGACTTAAGAATCAAGTTCACAGAGCTTTTAAAGAATAGATAAACATGTGTGCCTACTTGAATAATTATTAGGATTTTAACTAACAAAACGCATTGCTGTTTACACTTTAACCCGCCAGACATCGATTACCAACTCTGTCAGCGTCCGTGTTACCATGGGAACTAGTCCTTACTGATAGAGCTTGGCAGGTTTCACCATTCAAAATAAGAAAGTTACACATCCTTTAACACAAGCCAAGCGTGCCCTCTTCTCTGGACAGGAAAGGTCTGTTTGTCAAGTCAGCATCACTTCCTGCAGTATTTCAATGCACTTGCCTATGAGTTGCTCAACACTGTAAAGGTTTCGAGCAGGTGATACTCTTGAGGTTTGTTTTGGCTGGACAAGGTGAGCAGCAGCGACTAACATCAGGATTAATGTCAGCTTGTCTTAATGGGAACAACCTCCACCTCCAAAATCGCTCTCTGCCCTATAGCGCTTTCATCAACCTTGTAGATTCATCATCATCTTCTTCTTCTTGTCTACCGACCCGGACACCAGCCAGGCAAGGTTAACCACAGGCGTCAGCAGACACTGTTACCGTCAGGTCACAGGCAGGCAGGGCAGATGCAGTGATTTAACATTAGCATACTGGCTAGCTGATACCAGCCGCTGGATTTCATCCTCACCCAGTAACACGCCGCCCTGGTCTTTGGTGTAAAGGCCACCATCCCAGGCAGGCTCAGATGAGACTAAGAGGCAGACGCAAGCAAGCTTCATCGGTTCAGAATGAGCAACAAGCCGCGTTAATGTATATAATCAAAGCAGCTAGCAGGCAGGCTAACCAATGAGAAGCTAACGTCAGCTCGTCAGCCCGCTCAGGGACATTCTTTCACACCACACATACTACACTCTGCCCTTACCTCATAGTTCAGTTTCCATCGTGAAATACGGGAGAAGGTAGCTCGTTGTGTGTTTATAACCGCATTCAGTATGGTGTATACTCCCAAAAGGGTGCTTTTTTTTTTTATCACCAAAGCCCTTTCCGGCGATTCTCCCGTGGTTCCGAAATCCCGACCGACTGAGGGACAGCTGGAAAATGGGGTAACGTTACTGAGCTATCGCGAGATGTCAATGTATTTTTTTTTTTTTTATATGACATCTTCACAACCTCGCGAGACTTGCACCAGCCGTGAGCTTGCAGGGATGACAGGGACGCTGTGAGTTAAAAGGATTAGATGCGCTCCCACCGGCTGCTGTTTATTAGAGAAAGAAAAACACATTTGAAAATGTATTCAAAATGAACTTTTCAAAATGAGATTTTAACATGACTAACTTGCCAGTCTATCAGACTTTGTTTGGTGAAGTAAGCAACTACAATTATGCATGAAATATATTATATTTTGGAGAAAAAAAAAGGTCATGTTAAAAATGAAAACAGAAAATTCAGGGTTGCAATTATAATAACGAAATGCTATCAAAATAGTAAAATCTGTAAGACTGCATAAGCATGAAGGAACTATTTGAAGTGTATAACCCTCATCACTATTTTGACAGTGGTGTTGCTCACAGGATGGCAAACAAAGATAAACTGATGTAGGGTTGTTTGTGAGAATTAGAAATATGTTTTAAAATATTTCTTTTATTTCAATTTTGGAATTGTTACAGTTTAAGTGTGACTGTCAGTAAGCTATACATACAAGTTCTTCATTTTAGTTTGTTTATGAAGGGTTACTTTGTCTTTAGAAGGCTCATGACAGGTACACCAACCTGACAACAAGCTACGACGAAAACTGACTGCTGAGGCTTACTTTTATTACTAGAGATGTAAAAAATCAATAAATCTGCATAGCTCAACTAAAACTCTTTGAAATCTTTTTTTGGAAATGTTCTCTTACAGAAACGTGTTGGTCTCATTTGTTAAACTTCCTCCACATATATCTGATCAATGTCTTTTCCTTTGAAGATGTTGTTTTATTTTTATTTTTTTTTCAATTTAAGGACACAGGACAAAGAGACATTCTTTTTAAGTAATCTTTTCTTTTGACTGGCAAAATTTCATATCCACAAAAGTAAAATGAAAATTTCTAAAAGCCGCTCTTTTTTGTGTTCATGATAGAACTCAGTAACTAAATGGACTCCATTAAACCCTCAGAGAACTCGAAAGCTATGAAAACAATGCCTGTATACTCAAACTCTGTGGCTTTGCAGGAAGTCCCAACTTGAGTGACTGTGACACTTTGATGGTAACTTTTATCTGTAGCCTACATGTGTACATAGTATACTGTATATATTTGTGCATGTGTATATATTGGTGTATTAATGTAGAATATGTATATGTCTGTATGTTCATATGGACACAGTGTTAGTATTTATTTAAATCTAACTTCTGTGCCTTGTTTTTAAAGTTATCTCTGCCTCCCTCCTCGGCAATGTACCGTTGTTTAGTTGATGTCTGTCCCATGCAATGATTAAATATTGATTCAATTATATATAATATTTGTCTCTGTTATATGTCTAATATGCGTATGTATTACAATACAAATAAAGAAATAAAGAAATAAAGGACTAATAAGAGATGTTAATTAAAAACATCCAATAGGGGGCGGTGTTGTGATAACTTCAATAACACAAGATACATTTCAAAACAGCGAAGAAGAAGAAGATCAGCTGACTTAAGCTAGTAGTAGCTGTAGAAATAAATACTGGGACGAATGAATTGAATAACTGTGAAGTGTAAGCTCAACAGTCTGTGATATTTCAGATACATCTCTGCACATGAAGTAAATCTATATCAGAATGAAAGGTTTGTACTGCCGAGCTAGTGCGAGTGATGCTGAGCCCGAGTTCGTGATTCAGGACACGGTGAGTGTGTTGTGTTTTGGGGTCTTTCTGCAGGTTAAAGGTGGATACTATTCTACCTTGACTGTAGTCTGTCAGTAGTTTCACGGCATCAGATTGAAATAGGTGAAGGCAGACTGTTCTGTGCAGTTGCTCCATCTGCAGACATCATTGTACGGAACAGAGAAGAGAATTGTCCAGCATCTTCACACATCTTCAGACACTTCATTTCATTCTCAAAGCCTCTTACACATACAAAAACAAGAACACCTGTATTCTCTTATATGGTTTCACTGGGTTGTTACTGCCAGAAGGATTTTTCTAAGAAGAGATTAAAAAAAAAAGAAAAAAAAAAGAAGGCATCCAGAAAAATTGTGTTGCCTTTAACTACAATTGCCAGCTGTTGGTTTTCTTTACTAACTCTGTTGTAATTCACTCAGAAAATGACACTTTTTTACGCATTTAATTCACAATGAGCTCAATATAATACACTTAAGTTTCATCAGTTGATTTGGGAAATACAATCTTCAGATGACAAACCCCCCCCCCAGCGTTTTTTTTTTTTTTTACCATCAAAAAGATTTAGAATAATGTTTTGAGCTTTATGAGTATGTCTCTGGATTATTCATTTTTTAATAACGTTTTTAAAAAAAATGTTGATTTTTGTTCTCACAGTGTTTTTGAATTGTTTCTTTCTAGAAGCTTCCGGAGGCCTTAGGCAGCCATCAGGTGCGAGTTCAGGTAAAAGCATGTGGACTCAGCCCTCTGGATCTCAAGGTACTGAAACCGAAGTTAATAATGGTCAGATAGTCGGACAGTAAGCTGCAGTTCAGGGAAATAGAATAGAAATTCTAGAAATTAGGTTTTTTGTTTTTTTGAATCAGTTGCCAATATTGAAGACTAACCTGTCAATCTATCAAGTCATGTACAGGATCCAATCAAAGTCAAAGTCAACTTTATTGTCAATTTCAAAATATGCCAGACATACAGTGGAATCGAAATTCCGTTTGTCTCTGTCCCGCGGTGCAATACAACCAATAAGGTAAAATAAGATAAGGTAAAAATAAGATAAATAATATTTACAGTAGTAAATTCTAAATTGTGCAAAAGGTATAAATTCTAAATTGTGCAAAAGGTAGTAAATCAAATACAATAAAATTTAAAGAAAAAGTGAACTTGTGCAGTATGTGCGATGTGCAATAGGAGGACCCTCTGAATAATTGAATATATAACACTTTATTATTATGTAACTATAATATCAAGAAACAAAGCACAGATGATGATGTAGAATAGACGCTGACACAAAGGGTATGAAATGCCATCAAACCAATAATAAAAATTGAAATACAAGCTAATCAGAAAGATTACAATGGCAGAAAAAATGTCCATAATTTCATTCTATAGTTATTTCCTAAACAATATTATTATGTGATGACATAGATATAATTCTAATCACATTATAAAGTACCATTACATCACCTCTTTGTGTGACTGCAGTGTTCACTGACATCTCCTCTCTCTTACGCTGCAGCTTCTTGGAGACATGGGGATGCTCAGAGATTTAATTCCTGTTGGCAGAGAGATAGCTGGGGTCGTTCTGCAAGGTCACAAACACAGTTTTCAGTGGTTAAACACTGAATCATACTAAATCGGATTGAGAGCCAGCTGTGATTGATTCTTTCTTTTAACACAAATCCTAACTGTTCTTCTGTTTAGTGGGCGACAAGGTCTCTTTCTTCCAGACTGATGATGAGGTCATAGGTAGGTTTTTGTTCTTTTACTTGATGTATTGAATCAAGTGCTATTTTTTTTTTTGTCTCAGAACTGTTGTGGAAAACATAAAAAGAAAGAAAAAACCCAACACTACCATCACCAGTGACACAATGTAGTGACATTGGATGGTAATAATTATATGCATCGATCACATTCAAGCCAAATGTCCCCTATTCAATGAAGTGTTCCCCTTCGTTATCTTCAGTCTCCTAATGCTCACATACACAAAAAGTTTCTGCTTTAAATTGTCTCTACATGTTGTCTAGCAGCACCAAGAAAACATTTAGGTATTGTGATCCCTGTAAGGTAAAATAAAGACAAATGTATCACATTATTAAACACTTTTCAGTGGCAAAAAAACCTCCCTGTACACAATCAAATAGAACCCATACGAGCTGTTACCACAAGGTTTTTAAATGCTTTATATGTGTAACAACACTAGTGTTTATATTCTCTATGTTGCCATTACTCATAACACATGTTGCACTATGTATCTTCAAAGGACTGTCTCATAGCAACCGTCTCCTTTTCAGGGATTCTGCCTCTAGACTCTCCCTGCTCTGGACTCTGTGATACCATTGACATCGATGAACACTTATTAGGTAACTTACTGTACACACACACACACACACACACACACACACACACATATCTCAGTCAGCCCGCATGTATTATGGTTTTCTGGTGAATCAGTTTTCCCACTTCTGTCTTGATTCCTTTGATTTGACATAATCCTACTGCACTGTGTCTATCTGACAAGTCAGCCCACAGAAAAGGCAGTCCAGGTCACATCTCATTGATCAAACTGCTCTCCACTCTGCCCTAAATGCCAGCAGACACAGCAGGTCGCTGAACTGACTGTGTTTTTTTCCTCTACCTTTCTTCAACTGATATACTTCAAAACCTGAAAATATAAAGTGGTGCTGGCAGTTTGGAAGGAGCAGAATAGCGTAACAGCACCTTAAGTGCCCTCATCTTTCCCCTGCAGTTTCTGTCTGACTTATTTTGGAACCCTTGCAAAAAGAAAAGAGAACATGACGTGACTATGCCGTCTTTATAGGTGGAGGTTAAAAGAATGAAGCAAAGTAGAGTTCACCCCTTAAAATAGATTTTTTTGTCATATTACTCTGAATCTAAACATCGCACATAAAGTAAGGACATTTGTCTTTGGTAGATTATTTCTGTATTGTAACAATGCTTCTTGACAATAAATCTTATTCCGTTGGAAAGCCTGTTTATTTCCCTTTTAAATGGGGCCACATTTGTAAGGAATATGCATTCGTGGGATAAGCAGCAGAGCTGAGTATGTGGGTTGCGCCCAAGGAAAACTTGCCAAATCTTCTCTGCAAATTCCATTATTTATTTTTGGTGTTTGGTGCTTATTTAGTTTCAATAAGCTCTCTCATTAAGCCTTTGCAAACACATCCAATAAACACACAGGGGAATTTTATTTGTGTATTTTTTTGTTTCTGTTCTGCAGTCCAGAAACCAGAGAAGCTCAGCTCGGTGTGTGTAGCGGGAGGGCTGCGTGACGGCCTCTGTGCTTACACTGCTCTACACACGCATGCTCACATGGCAGCCGGACACACACTCCTGGTCATGGATGGAGCGAGTGTATGTACAAACCATAATATTTCTTTAAATTTCTGCTTTTATAAGTACCTAATAAAGACGTACAGAATAGTGTTTCGGCTGCTGTTTTTACACGTGTAATGTTCCCGCCTCCTCTCCCCTCTTAAGTCTTTTGGCCTCATGTGCGTCCAGCTGGCTTCTTACCACGGAGTGAAGGTTCTGACAACATCACACACACCACAAACACACACATTCCTGGAGCAGCTTCGGCCAAGCGTAGGTATGTTCTGCGTGTAAAGCTGAGATGTCTGCAGCCTCTGCTTTCACAGGCTTTTTTTTTTTTACATTCCTCACAGCGACTGTATTATAAAGTTTCAAGCCTAATTTTCATGGAGTGTCTGTCAAATGTTTCAGAATTCCTTTTCTACCAAATCACAGCAATTAAGCTCCAATCATTTCATGCTCTTCTGCTCTCTTTCACTTCTTTGACTCTTATGTTTCCTGTCTTCTTCACCTGTTTTTCCTTTCTGTCTTCCTTCCATGTTTTCCCTCAGGTGTTCAGGACCCTTTGGTCGGTGAGAATCTTTCCTTTCTATCTTTCTAAATCACTTGCATGCTTGCTCCTCTTCTGGTTTACTAATCCCTGCAGTACTTAGCTGTTGGATCATTCTCTATGAATTACACGTTTATGGCTTTTTGTTTCTTTTGTCCCTCCGCAGCCAGGATGATTCTAATGTACGAAAAAACACCACAGATACATTTAAAATGTTTGGCTAATATTATTTTACACGTCTAGTCCCAGAGTGTTTTTTAAGTTATTAACCTAATATTAAAAAAAAACCTTTTCTAAGCATGTTTTCTAAGATGTGGTGGTGAAAACACTAGGAGCTGACATCTGCTGCCACCATGTGGACAGAAATTGAGAATGCAACAGCTCACACGTCAAGCTTCTCGAGTGAAGCAGATTTAAGTGTGGCTTTAAATAGGTGTTGAGGCTGGTATTTGTTTTGCAGATTTGTCAGTTTGTGTTGTTTATTATAAACCTGTGTCTTTGTGTGTTCAGCTAAAGTGATTCCAGTGTATAAGGACTCATCAGACCTGCTGTCAGTGGTTTTGGAGGAGACAGGAGGACTGGGAGTGGATATAATCATAGATTCAGGAGGTAAATACTTAAATCTGTGTATGATTTTTTTTTTTAGCTTATTTATTCTATAAAAAATTCAGAACTTTTAAGACTAGAAAATGTGTCAGCATGCACTCAGGAATATGAATTGAAGTGAAGATACAATAACTACTACTGCTAGGTGAAGCTGTCATCTTAACATGTGAATGTTTGTCTGCAGTGCGTCTCCAAGAGGAGTCTTCGGAGGGGATGAAGCTCCTCCCACACAAGCATGACATCATCAGTGTGCTGGGAGTCGGGGGGCACTGGGTCACGTCCCACAAAGACCTGCAGGTGAGTCAGTGTCAGAAATAGAAGTGGCATCATGCAGTCTGAATAAAATAATGTGAATAAGAAGCTGCTCAGTCTGTCTGTCTTCATTGGAAGCTTCGTCACCAGTTTGGTTTCTCTTTTGCTCTTCTCTTTCCAGTTGGATCCTCCAGATTGCAGACTGCTGCACTTAAAATCTGCCTCTGTGACTTTCCTCAACTCTGAAGTCTGGACGATGTCATCAGCTCAGCAAGGGAGATACCTCCGTATCCTGTACTCACAGTGTGTCATGTTAAACATATGCACACGATAACACACAGATACACACGTATTTCCTCCTTAACAGCCTCGTGTCAGATATTCTGAAGGACATTGTGGAGAAGATGTCAACTGGAGTACTCAGGTAACACACGCACATCAAACAACACTCAGTAGGACTTTAGATGTCGGTCAACTTCAATCTGAAGTGGGAAGGAGTTTTTGTTTATTCGTTGATGGTTATAAGAATATTTATAGTAAAAGTAACGGATGAATAGAGGACATTTAATTTGCGAAACATACATTTGAATTCAGTATTTCTTATAAACAGTTACAGCGCACAGTTTTGTAACACCATGCGCACAGTGTCATGTAAGAACATTGACAGAATCTATCTTTTTGGTTTCAATGATCTTTCTCTCCAGACCTCAGCCTGAGGAGGCGGTTCCTCTTTATGAAGCCACAGTTGCCATGGAGACCGTTCAGCGTCAGCAGAAGAAAAAGGCTGTTGTCCAACTCTGACCAAAAAAAAAAAAACCCAGATATATATAGACAAAGTGGAGAACACAAAATGTTCATGTTTCTACTCATCGATCGTTTAAAGAGACCTGAAAACTTTTCAGCATGTGTCACATGGAGCTCAGACCGACACCATCATCAACCTGCAGCCTTCATGGGTTAACACTGACAAATACACGTCTGCGTTAACAGTAATGATCAGAGTCTTAGTCCTATTTGACCGGCTTCAAACTGTTAAAACTGTAAAAAAAAACAAAAAACGTCCTTCATATGAGGAAATGTTGACCAGATTCTGACACAGGTTTGAAATGATAGACCTAACGTGGGATTCTTTTTAAAGGACAGGACAAAGGTTTCATACACCAAGTCTACAACCCGTATCAAGGCCTCCTTTGTGTCAATAAAGACACATTTTTATAACATCACCCAGTGGCGATTCTAAACAGTTGCCTGCCTTGCCTGTTGACAAGCAGCACCTCTGACATCATTCCCATTATAATATTGGCAAAAACAGCAACGTTTGCTGTGGTAATCATTACACATCTTGATGGATGTCTAATGTCTCATTCTAAATTGTGATAACACAAAAATGACACTGAAACTTTTCTAAAAGGTTGTTATTGTCCTTTTTAATAACTAGAATGTTTAAAAGCATCTCTCAACATGAGAGGTAAGACAAAGTACAGTTTTATAGTTATTACATTGTGATGAACAATAAATGTCTAAAATGCTAATGCACACAGAAAGGTGAGTGTTATCTGTAGAGTGTTATCAACAGAGAAGACAAATAATTAATTGAAAAGCAATTATGAAACGAAAATGCATGGAGACCATTAACCCTTTCTAATGTTCAATATCCTTTCAATAAAGAAAACTGAATCAACAAAGGGCAGGTGTGTGTTTTGGATCTTTAATCAGGTGGGAAATTAGTGGTGCTGACATTTATTATGTCATATATTAAAGATGATATTTAATAGACCTTGTCTTGTCGTTTAAGAATTTTTTAATGTAATGTTCATTTTTTCTGAACTGCAGTGTGTCAGTCAGTTCCAGCCAGACTAGCTTTTAGTCTGAAAAAAGAATCAACACGGCTGATGTGTCAGTCCACACTAACAGATCTGTATCTATTGTTTTGTGTTGATTCCTCTCTACTCTTCTTTTTTACATTCTTACTTAAATCAAGAATGGTTAAAAAAAAAAAGAGTTTGTTTACAGTCATTTCAGAGCACCGTGTCTTTGACCTTCACTTAGCTCCACTAAGGGTCCACCTGACTGTCTGTTTTACAGTCTATGGTTCTGATGGCCATGATAACAGGGCAGTACTTCATACTGGATATAATCTGTAATCTTCTATCATGTAAACCTGCTGTCTTTTTTTTTGCCATACTGGTCTACAAGGAGAGCAGACACATGGAGACCATCCAGCATCACAAGTTCAGCCAATAACCTTGCTCCTTCTAGCAACTGGTAGGCCAAACCGCCGATCAAATGTCAACATCAGGTTGGCAGCCTGTCTGGTTGTCTTTGCGTGCCTTTGAGTGCCTCGAGACAGCTTCCCAGGATGCATCTTTCCTCCTGTCGCAGAGCCTGGACCACGTCCAGCTGCTCCCTGGTTGACTGGTCACACTGCTGGAGGAGGAAGGAGATCTGAACACACACAGGAAAATAAAGAACGGAAATCAGGCCATGTGCTGCATCACTGGAAAAGTGAGTGTGTGTGTGTGCACCTACACACCTTGTCCACAGCCTTGTGTGTGTCCTGTAGCAGTCTGTGACAGAGAGTTATAGCTGTCTGGACGCTCCACTGCTCTCTGTCTTCACATACCGCCTGACCGAGCAACACTGTCCTCCATTGGTTACTACGGAGACAAACACATGCTTTATTCAAGACACACAGGAAGATTTAAAAGTAGGAGAAGCAGGTAGTGTGTTCGCATGTGTACTTGTGTAGCCTTACTAAAGTGTTTGAGGTAGGGACAAGAGTCTGAGAGCTGTCATCAGTCTCCAACTGGGCCCTTCACAGGACACAGTGAGATTACTGACAGGGAGAAAGAAAAACAAGGAAAACAATTACTTCATTTACTTCTATACATGGACACAAATCAGATATTTAACTGGATGTTGCTATGAGGACATAAAGACTCCTGTAAAACTCCTTGTTGTTCCTCTTTAACACTATAGTTATAATATTATCAAGTACAGCAACAACCAGTGTTAAAGACGAATCTTATAATACATGAAAGGAAAATTGACTATAAACAAATGTTAAGTCTTACTGAAGGAAATTGTTTTCTCTGAGGAATCTGATCTTCTGATCCAAACTCCTGTCGCCTTTTAAAACCTCACAGAGGAGATCTGAGGGAAAACAAAGACACTGAAGTAACTCCAAATAACACTGTAACAAGATTCATCTTAAGGTTTGCTATTTTTTTGCATTTGGCATGAATGGGAGCATTTAAAAAAATATTGCAAACATTTATTTTCAAATTTACTGAAATAAATAAAATGGATTTAAGCAAATATTTCCAACTGCTTTTGTTTGAATGCTAAATTAAATTTTAATTAAGCACTTTTTTAACAGCCCAGTCCGTATCAAGAGAGGTACAACTACTTTAATATATAAATGTTATTCTGTGCTGCTTCACAGGCCAAACATATTTTCCCGTTTCTTGCCCAAGTTCACCTGTATCCACATAGACCACACTGTGGGGGTTATCCGATGCGACAAATCCGTACTCCAGCATCAGGCGCTGGTTGTCATGGGAACCATAGTTAATGAAGGCCTGCTTGTACTGATGTGTCCCAGAGACGCTCCTGATTTCATAACAACGCGTCGCCTCGTTGAAACTGGCTTGAACCTGCAGACAACAAAACATTTCTAATAAGGTTTTTTTTTTTTAAACTCAGTTTTCTAACTGTTCAATCGATCACATGGAATCAGTTCCTGTGTCTACTTCGTGCTTAAATGTTGAATACTGTGTTGAGGGTACCTGCACATCGGGGCGGTGGTTAAGCAGGTCCAGAAAAGGAGCTAAAGCATAAACATCGTGTCCAGAGAGGAGCGGGTTTGATGGGTGGGACATGAAAACGGAGCGTGTGTTGACACTGCACCACGCCCACCTGAAGAAAGAGAGGAGAAGAACAGGTTAAAAAAAAACTGACAGAGGACGTTTTAATATATTTACTTGAAATCTAATTACCTTTTATTTTTAATACAAAGTTAAATCCTAGTGTATAATTTCCTTTTTATAATAATTTAAATATTTAACTGTAAAATGACTGGACACCTATCAAAATGATGAAAATGCTGATATAACACATTTACATGTAGGTGTTTGCTCGTTTGAGTACCTCAATGCTTCATATGTCAGCACCTCCTTAACGGGCTGACTCAGGATTGGCTGCAGGGATCTGAATGAGGAATAAATTACTTATCTTGAGTTCATTTATTATATCCATGTATTGAAGAACTCCATAAATTAATCTTATTATTCTCTGTGTCACAAAATCTGGAATTTTGAAAATAAATTCTATAAAATCTGTGCGTGAACTAGTCTGAACACAGCCTTACATATAACCCAAGCATCTTGATTCAGTGTCCATACTTACTCAAAAAAGTCTATATGTAAGGCGTGGATTTCTCTCACTGCCTCCGCTGCTCTGAAGCCCGTCTCCTGACGCTCTCAGGCAGAACAGCCATGACATCGTCAGTGAAGTAGGCGGGGCAGGTGTAAGCGGCGGGGAGCACTTCGATGTAGGGGGACCAGTCGGAGGCCTCCCCTCGATGCCGCTCACACACCAGGAAGACACAGAGCACCAGCAGCGGGGAGAGGCGGGGCTTCCACCTGTGAAGAAAAAAAGAATGACAACTTTGGTCTGTATGCATGTTCGCAATGTAATTAAATTAACTGCAGGTTGCTTTAATGCAGTTGGTCATGGAAAAAAAACTAACTGCAAACTCAACAAAAAAGCAGCAGTTATTGTAAGGTGCCTGTAAGAGGATTCATTTAATTTTACACTTTTTAAAGTCCACATTCAGCAATTAAAAATATTTATACTGTTATATATGTTTTTATCTCCTCACTCTTCAGTGAATGTGTTTGTGTCTGTTTACCTCTTGATGCACTCTCCCAGGTAGCTGTCTAGCACAGTTGAGCTTGTGAGAAGACAGGACTCTGGCAGAGAAATGAGCAGCTCACCAGGCTGTCGGAGGAAAACAGAGAGACAAAGAGAAAAATACAACACATTTGAAAAAAAAACAGAATGAAGTTACTGATAGACAATTAAAGACTTCAAAAAAGCACCAAAGGGCTTAAAGTGAGTGATTTTCAATCACATAATTTTTTTTTAAGTCTTAAGTAAATGATTGTGCCTAAAGCTTTTTAGTAATCCTGCAAGATTATAGATGCCATAATCTCTATTTACATACGTCGTCAGACAATAGCCTATGGGTTCTGAGCTAGCAGATGCAAATATGCGCAAATGCACACCTAAAAAAAAAAAGTGCTTGTAGACTTGATTTTGTATGACTCACACTGAAGTGATTACTAGCTTTACAAACTGTTACAGAAGGTGCAACTGTGTTACACAGTCCAACACTTACCTTTATAGTCTTGAGAGATTGCAGTCCTCTGCCGGTGTCTGGATTACGTGCAAACACACACACAAACAAACTTTAAAATCTGTACTTCAGTTGATGATTTGGTTCTTTTTCCATACAGTTGCTGCTGTATCTGTCAATCAGGGACAATACAACTTTTTCTTTGTTTAATGTCAAGAAAACTGAATGTCCAAATCTTCCACTGAAAACAAAAGTATACAAGTAGATGTCTAGACTCTTTCAGATGCTGCCACACAGAAAACATTCTACACACTGTTTTAGTGATATGAAGTGCGTCCTGAGTTTTAGTAAATTGAGTCGTACCAGTGAAGCGTGCTGGCTGCAGTAGCGTTGATGTGAATCCACGTTTGTGAAGAAACTTCATGAGCCTCACATACTGCGGCCGGTGACACAGAGACACTGAAGAGAC